GGAAAGTGGGTTGCCAATAGGTAATAGAAACTTGAAGGATCAAGGTTCTATTTTTGAAGCATATTGTGATTTGGAGGACCAAATCCTTTTAAGGTGGGGAGTATGTAACACCCCACATACCTTAGTGAATAATTTAAAAATTAGTGTCCTTTTAGTTTGTAGTTTTAAGGATGAAATTAATTGAATTTAAAGTTTGGGAGTTTTAAATGAAACTTAGTAGAAATTGAATGGCCTTAACTCAATTATCCCAATTTTACTTACCACATGGCATTCTCCCAACCAAGTTTTTTTTCATTGTCGGTGAGACTTGGATAAGCCCCAGAAGGCTCCCAAAAGTCCCCATTTTTTTTATCATGTGTACTGCTTCTTCCAGCCGTCCCCTGCATCCTTTTCTTCCTTCTTTCTCCAGCCAAGGTTGAGGTGCTTTTTAGGTAAGTATAAGTTTTAGTTATGAATTTTGGGTTAGAGTTTTGGGTAGTTTAAATTGGTGAGATTTGACTTTAATCCTTTAGTTTATAAGATTTTTGGATATTAAACTTTTATTAGAAATATCCTTAATTTTGGGGCTTATATGGGAAAGTTAGTGAGTTAGTCCTTTTTATTGTTTGATTTGGGTGTGAATTTTTGCTGCAGAAATTATAAGTAAATTGTATTGTTTATGAATTATTGTTCACGATTACTGTTCACGCACTATGCTTTGATCTTTTTCAATAGGAAGTCCTAATATTATTTTGGACATATTATGAATTTGTTTGGCATGTGTATGTGTTTGTGGCTATGGAGTAAGTGGACCTAAGCTTAAAACTTGGGGTATTCAGTGGACCCTTCGGGGTATTTAGCGGATCTCTGCGCAGTAGGATTAGTACTGTGATTAGCTCCGGTACAGTGTTGCTAGCACACCTCAGTGGACTCCATAGCATTGTGTGTTTTTCGATTTTATGCATTGCGCTTGTGACATCGTATTTGTGAGCATATGATTTTAGTATATGAATTCAATTTAAATGTCATTGATTATTACTTGACATTTGTGCTTATGATTTGAGATATTAAGTCATTATTTAAATAGTGAGAATTATAATA